AGGGGCGGGGCGCGGGCCACGGCCACGGCCACGAGCGGCAGCGCGCAGGCGAGGCGGGCCGCGGCCACGACCACCAGCGGGAGGGCGCGGGCGCGACCACGACCACGGCCACGGCGGTGGCGGGGCTCGGAGGAGCGCGGACACGGCCACGGGCGGCACGGCCACGACGAGGCGGAGCGCGCCCACGGGCACGGGCGGCACGGCCACGGCCACGGTGGGGCGAGCTAGGTACGGGCGCGCGTGGTTATTTTTGGGCGCCTGTTGGAGTTGCTACTGTTGCTAGCCGGGCAGTATATTTTTGGGCATCTGTTGGAGATACTTGGTCGTCCGGCGCGCTAAAACGCTATTTTGGCGTTGTAAATTTTTTTAGCGCGCGGCTAGATTAGGCGTCTGTTGGAGATGCTCTAATTCCCGTAAGTCTAGCATTTTTTTCTCTCTTGAGCTCTATGACATTGGACCATAATCTACCATTGACGTCTGACTGAAAAAAGAATACACTGGCCATTGGACCATAATCCCGAACCAAGCCACAACAGTGCGGGAACAGTCGATGCATACAACCATATTATTAGAAAGCAAAAAAAATTATTGGCCACGTCGAAGGTCACCAGAGCCCTGGCCATCGCCGCCTTGAGCCTGGCCACATCGAAGAAGTCGCTGCCGGACTCGGAGCGGTAGAAGTAGACGATTTTTTGTCAAAAGAGACCGCTTACCGGATCAAAATGGCAAAAAAGACCACCTCTGGGTTAGATTGGCAAAAGATACCACCTCGTCGTGGCGGCAGGCGCGCCAAGCGACACGTGGCACCTGCCGCCACGACGTGAGGCGGCCGGCCCCGCCGCCATTCTGCCAGGCGGCCAGTCCCTGGCAACTGAAATCCAGGCCAGCGACGGAACGGAGCTGGGTATGGTGGGCCATGCCGCCATCGGATGAGGCGGCCAGCACTGTAGCCCTGGAACGGCACTGTAGCGACACACTGCTGTTGTAGGGCCATGCCACCACCCGTTCAGGCGGCCGGCACTGTAGCTGCTGCGCGCTGCACTGTAGCGGGACGAGCTGCACTGCTGCTGCTGCACATATATATTACCTTTAAAATAATTTGTGCATATATATTACCTTTAAAATTGTTCTAACAATACTCTCACTTATGATGGATCAATAGGTCGTCTCTGTAACTTTATCAAGTCAACCGAACCGCAGGTTGTTTTCTCTTCATTTCTATTTATCAAAACCCATATACTCTAGTGGACATGATGACACACGCATAGCTAAAATTAAAAATAAATTGCATCAAAGGTTGAACGCTGCAATCTGTGCAGCATATATGCGAGACAAATTAGTTAATTAGCAATATAGTGCCAGCCCACGGCAGGCCGTGTGCAACAGCAGCAGTGCAGCTCGTCCCACTTTGCACTAGTAGCAGTGCCAGCCGCCTCAACTGCTGGCGGCATGGCCCAGCAGGAGCAGTGCATTGCTACAGTGCCGCTCCCAGGGCTACAGAATCGGCCGCCTCATACGGTGGCGGCGTGGCCTACCATACCTAGCCCGTTTCGTCGCTGGCCTAATTTTCTGTTGCCCATGACTGGCCGCCTGGCAGCGTGGCGGCGGGGCCAGCCGCCTCACGTCGTGGCGGCAGGCGCCACGTGTCGCCTGCCGCGTCTGCCGCCATGACGAGGGGGTCTTTTTTGTCAATCTGATTCAGAGATGGTTTTTTTTGTCATTTCAATTTGGCGGGTGGTCTCTTTTGATAAAAAATCGAAGTAGACGGTGGGGGTGTGGCCTCTGCTGGCCAGTACGAGGTCAAGCGGGGAGAGCCACAGGCCGTGCCTAGGCGTCTGCTCGCTTGGTGCCACCATGCACGACTCCACCACCTTCACCTCCTGCACCACGGCGTCACTTTTCCTTCTATTTTTCTTTGATAGCACCGCACCCATTTTTCTCCTGCTGATTTAGCGGAGGTGAGCTCGAGTGAAGAGATGTCGAGTTCTTCCCTTTTGTAGTCTATAGGAACAGCGCACGCAGTCGAGTGATCACTTTCATTAATAACTAAAGAATAAGCCAGCCATGGAGTCCAATATCGAGCTTCAAATTCCTGAAGTTCTTGCAAAGAGAATCAGATGCTCGGTCGAAATATTTCTAGAGGAAGGAGCATCGCTATCAATTTTATTTCGGAAGTCGATGCTTGCCGGAGAATCAGATGCTCGAGTTGAATGCTACTCCCTCCGATCTTAAATATTTGTTTTTCTACAGATTTCAACAAGTGACTACATACGAAACAAAATGAATGAATCTACACTCTAAAATATATCTATATACATCAGTATATGATAGTCCATTTAAAATATCTAAAAGACAAATATATAGGAACGAATCGAATAGTATAATGGAACTAAAGCAGGGTATCCTCTGCAATTGCAAGAAGAGGGTCCATTGGCAAATTATATATATTGCTGGTAGAGTACCTTAGAGTAGTTGCTAATCACGCGTATAGTCGCCTTCAAATCGATGGAATTGTTTGATCACGAACATACTACTTTGGTAAAAGTAAAAAATCATCCGTGTACAGTTTGTCTGTTTCTATCCCATAATTACATTGTGATCTTGATCTTCTGCTCCTTAATAGCTCACGCTAGCTATTTTTCCTAGCCATGCAAACCATGTCACATAAGTAATTTATGCCAGTTTAGCTACACGCAAGTCACCTGAATTTTCAATTTGGGTCAGTCAATTTGTTGCCCGTTAATTCTAGCTATGAGATTCGTGCTATGTAATTTTTTCCTGGGCTGTTCTATCATCTATGAGCTG